TCTCTCTCTCTCTCTCTCTCTCTCTCTCTCTCTCTCTCTCTCTCTCTCTCTCTATCTGCCCCAGAACTTGGATTCTGGCATCAAATTACATTCCATGTCAAGATCGGACAGAGGGAAAAGTCCATGAGTTTCTTAGGGGCTTTCTTGTGAAGAGGTAATTGGGTTTTGTTGGGGGCTTTTCCTGCAAAGAAACAACGGGCATAACTTGGATTCCATCATGAAAGAAATAATCTGTGGGGCAAGATCATTGTAGAGAGAGAATAATCCACCACTTTCTTGTGCAAAAACATCCCCAATCTCCCTCGTGGCATTGTCCTCCATGCGTTGAAGTTGGAGGGATGGAATCCACCACTTTCTTGTGCAAAAACATCGCCAATCTCCCTCGTGGCATTGTCCTCTGAGGGCACTTTCTTGTGCAAAAACATCCCCAATCTCCCTCGTCCCTTGTGGCAGTGTCCTCCGAGGGAGGGAGGGAGGCATTGTATTTGCCAGAAGCATTCATTTGTCCCAAATCACTGGGATGCTGCAGCTGTAGCTGTGCCAATAACTTGCACTGGGGTGCTGTCAGCTGTGCCAATAACTTTAAAAGAAGCCCTATCTGCTGCTCTCTGTTCGCCAATAACTTGAAAAGAAGGCCTATCTGCTGCTCTCTGTTCCAGTGGGTGGAAAGATCCTGTTTTCAGAGTAGTCACAACCTTTGGTTTTTAGACATTTTTGGGAAGGACTTTTACTTGGGATCTTTGGGACTCCTTATGTCACATGAATGGATGAATGGATTTTCTTGGACAATGAGGAGGCGAGCGTGCATGCAAAGCTCAAGCTAGGGGTTGTCCACCTGGGTTCAAGAAAGGGGAAAATATGTAAATTTATGAAGATAAAAAATAAATTGTTTTCTTAAAATGTAGAGAGAGAGAGAGAGAGAGAGAGAGAGAGAGAGAGAGAGAGTAGTTAGTAGAGTAGAGGACGGTACTACTAGTAGTTACGTTCGTTACGTACGTTGGTTGGTACGTAGTCGTACTACTTACGTACGGTACCGGTACCGTAAGTTAAGTAAAGTAA